CAAACCTACCTGTGTGCCTTGCAGATGAGAAGGCCTAAAGAATCCCGCTTCAAACTTTTCCTAACCAGGACGCTTGTTCCACAATGGATAAACAGCGCGTATGTCATCTTCTTCTTTCTCCGAGATAGTTCGTGGTTCAATAGTATGTATTTAGATAGTACTCATTTTAGAAAATTAATATCGAGGCATATCACTATTACTAGGAATGTATTCTTGCATAATAATACCGGACATTCACCATTCACTTTGTACAGCACATCGGTAAAGGACGAACTAATGGGAAACAATCCTTCCGAGATGCTTCTTTAACCCCTCCTGTTGCGTAGGTGGCCTCAAATTTAGCCGCGTAGCCTTGTCAACATAATACAGAACACAAGTGCATAGACCGCCGATGAGCCGATGAGCGATGGAGGCGATGTTCTCTAGCCCTTACGACATTACAGGATGGCAGTCATGTTCTGGTGGTAACGGCAGCTCCAAGGGAATGGAGTTGTATTTCTGCTACAATCAGAACAGGGATTATTTCGAAAACATCCAAGAAAAGAGACCGTGGTCTCCTTCCCCCAGTTGCTATTACTCCTCTGATGCCAATTGGAATTCGACAATCATTCTAAAGGAGAGAATTAGTTCGGACACACAGGAAACATCCCTAGGAAGTGGGAATTCCTTTGCGATTGGCTCATTGGATTTACATGTACGAGTCGTACATCTAGATGTCCATGTACGAGGTGGGATGTCATGGATACTAGCATTGCGCTTAGAGATCAGCCCACTTCCACTAGCTGGTGTTTACCCCGTCGTGCAGTTTCCTTTTTCTTTTTTAACCTTGGTATTCTCCACCTATATAATAATCTTTATTTCAGGATTACCCATAGTTATGTGAGTGTCTCTCTGCAAGACCTAAACGAGCGTATCATCGGAGGCGTGAACGATGGCACACTGACACTCAGTTGCCTCCATACTGGGGTTCTGAAGAGGTAGTATTGCGGTGCACCGCGTTTGCTTTCTCCATTATCTGCCTCTTACTAGTCTTATTTCGGAGTAGTTTATCATTGGAACCTCCTCAACCCGACTAAGCCTCCCTTGCTTCGCAAACCATGCTGATAATTATTTGAAGGTTAAAAGCATCGGTTCGTTTCGTGAAAACAATAGGTTGTTGCACTTGCGGGCCTCCGTGTGTACGTTGTAGTAATGGATAAGGAGTGCAATAGATAATGTGTATCATTTTACTTTGGAATGGTCATTCTTTCTCGGTCCTCCTATTGTTTGAACCAGCTCTACCACTCGGTATTGAGCACTCTCTTGGACAGCCTGGAACCTCTCCGTTTTGAATGGTCATAGCATAGAGGAATAGTCCGCGAATTGACTGATGATGCTGCTGCTGTGAATCCGTCACACTATCGAGCTGGTATTGATTACACTGGAGCCTACGAGATATCCAACCTGCGAGCCAGGACGTCATAAGTACCACTGGCTGACGCGGAAGAAATCCATTGCTCGCTGTTCCGGAACTTGGCTTTCGCGACACCGGTGGCAATCGATGTTCGACCCACTTTCACTCTTCATTGGCCTGTTTGTTTTTCTCTGGCAAGGCGTTTCAAGACCATGGTCTTGATACGGTGTGTGTCTGCGGCTAGAGGCCCGCTCCTCGTCCCAGCTATGCTACTTCAACATTGTTCACATCACACTGCCATTAGCCAGGTGCTGTGTTGCTCGCACGCACTCCAATCTGACTTCAGGACAAAGCCTGCACGCCATTCATTGCACAAGTGTTTCTTCATATCGTCCTCAACAGCAGAAACCCTGGCGGACCCCGAAATGGCCAGCACTTAGCAGCGTGAGCGCATACGAGCATAGACATTGTCAGCTCTTGAAAGTACACGAGAAACTAGTCGCCAAGTTTTGGATAGCACCATTGAGCTCTGGCATGGTTCCTCTGGTGAAAATACAGAAACCTTGATCGGAATGGGCCTCCCTGATCCAACGATGTGCCTGTACCGGGTCATGCTATGGCCATCATGGCTCTATGACCAAACAAGACCATTACATTTTCTTTATGGATCACTTTAAAGAGGCACGTGTCGCAGTCACGTGCTCGCGGATTTGGGGGTCGCCTGGGTCAACGTTGAGAATGGCGATCGACTTCGGCGCTCTAAGTTTAAGTTCAGGGTGAGTGAGTCTGGAACCACCTTACATTATCTTGCCCATTCCTGGTGGGTGCTGAATTCGCGTACCTGTTACTGTGTGCCTCTGGATGTCAGAGTGCTCCACTCATAATTATTATGTTATTGCAGCCTTTAGTTATAGCCTTTTCTGCGAAGATCCAGTTCATGCAGTGATGCTAGCGGAGCATGGCTGCGGGAACCACACTGAGGAACATTCATGTAGGCTATTGGGATTTGGAAATGATCTTGCCTCTGCTTTCGAACAATAACTGCGGGCTTGAATCCTGAGCAAGTCATTCACCCCTCAGGCTCATCTGATGTAGATAAAACGGGTAGAAAGCGCCTGGTTGGTCATTGGCGGGTCGAACTCGCCTTGACGGCTCAATCATGGTCTTTTCTTGCACCGCATACGAAGTCAACATTCTACTAAAGTGATTGTCTTCTACTACCGGTGTACATGTATGTACAAACACATGTAGTGCGGGGAACATTCAGCATAATGTCAGAATCTGTCAAAAACCACAAAAACAACGGCCAGTCTGAAAAGCTACAGTCATGTAGATGCATGGCAACATACAGTAGATACCCAAACATTACGCTGTGTACTTGCTCGTCTTTGGAGTTACTAACACTGCAGGAGCCACGCTGTCCTGGGCCACAAACTGTGGGCTCCAGTGCATCAACTTCAAGTATAGAGGGGAGGATGAAGTAAAGGAAGAAACCTTGTAGGCCGATCATGGATCCGGGTGGCCGTACACTGACAAATCTGTAATTGGGTCGGAGCACTTGCCTTCCGGTGTCACCGTGTAGAACGGCTTCAAATGACTATGTACATGTACATACACTGATACAGTACATGTGGGTGCCAGGCAGTAGTATAGACTGACAGTATAAATACATCAGTAGTAATTCAGTGTCAGTCTATACTCTCATTTCTGCTCACTTTTCGTGTTCCCGCCATCGCCAAGTGCGTGTCGTAATTTGATCCAGCAGAGATACGAGATGCCAGACTGCTCAGAGATTCCCGGTTCGTAGACTATTACTAGTAATAGCGGCCAAAGGGTGACAGGCCTCAATCAAAACAAACAAAGAGCTGAGCCACGCGGTAACGCCACGCCCGTAGACTTTGGCTGAAATTGGCTAGTACTGTACTGGCACTCCATGGAACGTAATCTCAAGTCCTTCCATTCAATCATGAACGACACAGTACATGATTGTACTCGCTTGCTCGATGACAGAATGACGTAGGGGTCTTGAGGATGTACATTACAGTACAACTACAAGAAGCCCTTGTTTTGTCCGGACAATGATTCATGACATAATAACAGCCCCCGTTCCCGCGCCGTGGGCTCACTAGAGTATTGTATATGCGTGAAGGCAAGACTTTCGCATTGAGCATCAGAGCATGTCCATGAAACCTAGGCCTAATGAAAACCGTTACACTTAGTGCTTAATAGTGTAAGTAGGTGTTGGTCCAAAACGTTTTCTGTGAGTATGAGATAGGCTGGTCGACTTTACTGTGAGTATGAGATAGACCGATCGACTTCCCTAGATCAGAGCAAGTGCCACTGTGGTCTCCGGATAAAAACTTCATTCATCATGCCTCTGCCATCAAAGACTAAATTAGAAATGTGGAGGAGAGAGGTGTGGCCAGCAGTTGATCGACACATCAAGCGTCGGAACAGGCACTCTGGCTGGCTGCTGAGGTAACTGGTTCAATCTACTTTACAACAATTGTAGATAACGATCATTGCTGCCTGTGCCTGTTCCTGGGGATGACCCAGGCCAGAGGAAAATACAGTCTACTTGAAGTATGTTTATCAACGTGGCACCCCACCCACGGCACCAAAACACAATGTTGCGAGAGACAATGTGTAGCTTATCCCTATGTCGACGCTACCGCGTACATCGTCCGCTTGTGGACGTGGTCGCGTCTTCCAACAAGCCATCAGTTGAACAAGCAAGGCGTTCAAGCCAAACATCCTCTCAGAATTGCTTGCATTTCATTCTCTTCTAGTGCTATTTACCAAGATGCGTGTGCTTGCTCGGATCTGATACATAGACTGCAGGCTTCGGTCAGATTTCCTAGGTCATCAGTCTTCTATTAGAAGGATGGAAATGTGCTGCGCAATCTGAGAATTCAGTTTTACTCTGGAAGGTGGCTGGGGAATTATTGTCAGAAGATAGGCAGTATACTCGTAGCTTTGGTTAGGAATAGTCTGGACCCAAGAGTCGATCTGACTGTGAGTAATCGGCCATGCCAGAACGCTGGACTGCACTCCAGATAACTGGTCACTCTGACGTCCATTTTGTCCGCCATACATGTACGTGTGCAGGATACATACACATACTTGCCCTGGCAACTGAAATCCGCCCCCTGAGCTATGCGTTCACATTCTAGCGGTCTCTATTTCGTAGTTTTACTATCCTGTGTCGGGTCTTTGCGATGTGAGCACACCGTTCAGGGGTCGGATTTCAGTTGCCAGCACTGTACTTGTCCTGGCATGGTATGGTTGTGTCGACAAGCCTTTCCGTAACT